GCCGGATTCAGAATCAAAACCGGATTTGTGGTCCGATCTGGACGTGAAATCAGAACTGGATTTAAGATAAACCGGGCTTGGAATCAGAATCAAAATCTGACTCGGAACCGGATATATGATTAAAGCCGAACTCTAAATCGGAAACAAATTTATGATCAAAGGGGGGCTCAGAATCTAAATCACAATCTGATTTGGAACCGGATTTGGGATCAGAGCCGGATTCGGAATATAAACCGTATTTGTGATCCGATCTGGACTTGAAATCATAAGAGGATTTAAGATAAGAGCCGGACCTGGAATCAGAATCAAAATCTGACTCAGAACCGGATTGGGATCCGATCTGGAGTTGAAATCAGAAGCAGATTTAAGATAAGAGCCGGACATGGAATCAGAATCAAAATCTCACTCAAACCGGATATATGATTAAAGCCTAACTCTTAATCGGAACCGGATTTATGATCGGAGGGGGAGTCAGAATCTAAATCACAATATGAGTAGGAACCGAATTTGGGATCAGAGCAAGATTCGGAATCGAAACAATATTTGTGATCCGATCTGGACATGAAATCATAACAGGATTTAAAATAAAATCCGGACTTGGAATCATAATCAAAATCTGACTCAGAACCGAATTTGCGATCCGATCTGGACTTGAAATCAGGACCGGATTTGGGATCAGAGCCGAACTCGGAATCAGAATCAAAATCTGACTTAGAACCGGATTTCGGATCCTATCTGGATTTGAAATTAGAACCGGATTTAAGATATGATGCGGACTTGAAATCAGAATCAAAATCATAATCGGAACCAGATATATGATTAAAACCGGACTCTAAATCAGAACTGGATTTTTGATCGGAGGGGGAATCAAAATCTAAATCACAATCTGATTTGGAACCGGATTTAGGATCAGAGCCTGATTTGGAATAGAAACCGTATTTTTGATCCGATCTGGACTTGAAATCATAAGAGGATTTAAGATAAGAGCCGGACTTGGAATCAGAATCAAAATCTGAATTAGAACCGAATTCGCGATCCGATCTGAATTTGAAATCAGCACCGGATTTGGAATCAGAGCCGAACACGGAATAAGAATCAAAATCTGAATCGAAACCAGATTTGTGATCAGAGCCGTATTTGAAATCGGAAACGGATTTGTGATCTGAGCCGGATTCGGAATTGAAACCGAATTTTTTATATGAGTTAGACTTGAAATCAGAACTGGATTAAGGATCGGAGGGGGAGTCATAATCGGAATCACAATCTAAATCAGAACCGGATTTGTTACCAAATCCGGATTTGGAATCAAAACCGGAATTGTGATCCGAACTAAACTTGAAATCATAACAGGATTTAAGATAAGAGCCGGAATTGGAATCAGAATCAAAATCTGACTCAGAAACGGATTTGCAATCCGATCTGGACTTGAAATCAGCACCGGATTTGGGATCAGAGCCGGACTCGGAATCAGAATCAAAATCTGACTCGGAACCGGATTTGTAATCAGAGCCGGATTCGTAATCGAAACCGTATTTGTGATCCGATCTGGACTTGAAATCTAAAAATGATTAAAGATAAGAGCCGGACTTGGAAACAGAATCAAAATCTGAATTAGAACCGAATTCGCGATCCGATCTGGATTTGAAATCAGCACCGGATTTGGAATCAGAGCCGAACACGGAATAAGAATCAAAATCTGAATCGAAACCAGATTTGTGATCAGAGCCGTATTTGAAATCGGAAACGGATTTGTGATCTGAGCCGGATTCGGAATTGAAAC